TCTCTAAGTTATCTTCAAGCTTACTTCCAACATTCACCCCCTTAAGCTTGAAGTTAACTTCTTTCAAATCTTCCATTCCAACAAGTTCTCTCATGTCTTTGAATTTGATCCTTCCCAATGCTTTGGTGAGGATATCAGCCTTTTGCTCACTGCCAGGTACATGTTGCACGTCAACTTGATCATTCTCTATGCACTCTCGGATGAAATGATATCTCTTGTGTATATGTTTGCTCCTACCATGAAAAACTAGATTCTTTGTAAGAGCAATTGCAGACTTGTTGTCAATCTTTACTACCACTTTCTTGCTTGATTCCCCGGCCACTTCTTCAGGTAAATCCTGTAACCATATAGCTTGTTTAGCAGCCTCAGTTGCAGCCATAAATTCTGCCTCATAAGATGATAAGGCAACCGTTTCCTGCTTCTGAGAGCACCAACTAATTGGACACTTATTTAGATAGAAAACATGGCATGTGGTGCTTCGTCCATCATCCTCATCTATATTATGAGAACTATCACTGTATCCTACTAGACCATCATTGCTGGAATGCTTAAATACAAGACCATATGATAGCGTTCCCTTAAGATATCGTAGTACCTATTTGAGAGCCGCAGCGTGTGATGCCTTTGGTTTATGCATGTATCGACTTAAAATTCCTACTGAAAATGAAAGATCTGGTCCTGTATGCAGAAAATATCTTAGACATCCGATCAGCCTTCTATAATTCTTTTCGTCCACGTCTTCTTCATCTAGAGCTTTAAAGACTTTAAGTCCAAACTCCATTGGCGTCTGTACCGGGTTGCAATCATTCATACCTGCATCTTCAAGAATTCTGTTTGCATATCTCTCTTGCCGGAGAATGATGCCTTCTTCACATTGTGTCACCTCAATTCCTAGATAATAAGTCAACCTTCCAAGATCGCTCATCTCGAAACTCTTAGCAATACTTGCTTTAAACTCCAGAATCTGATCAAGGCTTGAACCGGTGATTAGCAGATCATCGACATAGACTGCTACCAATAGTATTTGATTGCCTTCTCGTTTTCGATACAGAGATGGTTCTTTGTGGCATCGTATGAACTTAAGTGCCTGCAGAACTTGATTTAACTTTTCATTCCAAGCCCTAGGCGCTTTTTTGAGTCCATACAAGGCTTTATGTAGTTTGTATACTTTCCCTTCACTCCCCTGAACCTCAAACCCTTCAGGTTGATTAACATATACTGTCTCTTTTAAGTCACCGTGAAGAAACGCAGTTTTGACATCCAAGTGGTGTACCTCCCATTCACTAGATGCAGCCAAAGCAATGATGAATCTCACCGTTTCTATTCTTGCTACTGGTGCAAAGACTTCTTCGAAATCGATCCCATGACGTTGGATATATCCTTTAGCGACCAGACTTGATTTGTGCTTGTTATAGTTCCATCAGCATTAAATTTGATCTTGAAAATCCACTTTAATCCGATTGCTCTTGCTCCAGCAGGAAGATCAACTAACGTCCATGTACCATTCTTAATTATGGAGGTGATTTCGTCTTCACTAGCCTTTCTCCACACTTCATCTTTTAGTGCTTCACTAATATCCCATGGTTCTTCGCCTAGTAGAAACAAAAAGTACTCATCTTCCTCTTCTGCCAGTTGTACATAATCATCCAGGTAAGCTGGTCGTTTTGGAGCTCTCAAAGATCTCCTAGGTAGATCATTTTGTGGCTCTGTTTCTGGTACAACAATGGTTTCTCCTCCATCTACGTGATATTCTTCCTCCTCTGGCTCTGCCTCTGTATCGTGATCTTCCTCTTGTATTCCATTATTTCCAAAATCTCCGAAGGTTACTTTAAACATTCCAGGTTGCTCTGTGAATGCATCGACACTTGATGCATTCCACTCCCAACACTTCTTTTCTTCAAAGCTCACATCTCTACTGACTATAACTCTTCGATGATCTTGATCAAGAAGTCTTTATGCCTTGGAGCCCGGTTCAGTTCCTAAGTGTACAAGTGCTCGAGATCGATCTTCAAGTTTCTTGATGTACGGAGTGTCAATCTTCGCATAACTAACACACCCAAACACTTTTATATGTGCTACGCTTGGTTTTCTCTTCTTGTACACTTCATATGGCGTCTAAGATGTTAACACTCGAGTAGATATACGATTAATAAGGTATGTGGCATGTCTTACCGCCTCTCCCCATAGGTAGTTAGGCATCTTCATATGTTTTAACAAGCTTCTAGTCATCTCCATAAGTGTTCTGTTCCGCCTCTCTACCACGCCATTTTGTTGAGGTGTATACGGAGCGGTTAAATGCCTTGCTATACCAGAAGTCTCGCAGAATGTATTGAACTCTGTAGACGTGAATTCTCCTCCTCTATCAGTCCTGAATGTTTTGATCAATGCTCCTGTCTCACTCTCGACTTTCTTCTTGAATAACTTGAATTTTTCAAAAGCTTCTACTTTTTCTTTCAAGAGTATGGACCACATATACCGAGAGTGATCATCGATCAAAACAAATATATATCGATTCTTTGATGCAGTGGGTGGCGAGATTGGTCCACAAAGATCACCGTGTACGAGGCATAGTATTTCTTCAGCATAGTACGAGGATGCTTGTGGGAATGGTCGTCTTGCTTGTTTTCCAAGTATACAACTTGAGCATGTTTCCTTTTCAACTGTAATCTTCGGCAACCCGATCACTAGATCCTTTCTTACCATACTCTTTAAGGCTTCTGCTCCTAAGTGTCCTAGTCTTGCATGCCATATCGTATGTTCATCGCTTGAAACTAGTTGTAGACATTCAGTATCTGCAACCTCCATGCTTACTTTGTATAAACGATTTCTTGCTCTTTTTTCTCTAGTGATAAGTATCCCATCTTTGTCATGCAACGTGAGATAATCTTTTCTCATCCATACATCACACCCAAACTCTGTCGCTTGACCAAGACTGATGATATTGCTTCGTAACGCCGAAATGAAATACACATCAGCAAGCGTTCTCCGATCTCCCCTTTTGCTCAGAAAGATAATAGATCCTTTTCCCTTTATGTCAATACGAGAATCATCACCGAATCTGACTTTTCCCGTGATGGTTTCATCAAGTGTCTTGAAGTAATTGCGGTTACCGGTCATATGGTTGCTCGCGCCATTGTCTAGATACCACATATTTTCTCTACTTGAATATGCTTCAAGTTCGTTCGGCTTGACAGTTTTTTCATTCAAGTAAACCACTTCATGCATTAACAATCCCTCTGCTTCTTGAGTCTCATCTTCCTTGCGGGTCTCATAAGCTTCTTGAAGTTTCAACAAACGATCTGGGCATGCTGATGCGAAGTGACCATTCTTATCACATCTGAAACACACGATCTTTGACATATCAAAATCCTTGTATGACCTTCCTCGGCCACGACCTCTACCATAAAACCTTCTGCCACGACCTCTACTTCGATAGTCTCCATTGTAGTCATGCTGCGAATAGTGTTGTGGTTGTTCCGTATTGGCATACATCAGCTTACTTCGATCTTCTTGTGTTTCTTCTTCTTCATCCACAATTCTTTCTTCATAAGCTTTGAGACGTCCGATAATATCTTCAAAGCTTGTGGTTTTAAGATCCAACATCTGTTCCAACGAAGCCACCATGTGAACATATTTCTTTCTAGGTAGACACATGAGAAATTTCTTGACAAGCTTTGGTTCTTCTATGAGTTCAGCTAATGCCGCAGATTTTGACGAGATCTCAGATATCTTGCCCACAAAGCTATCGGTTGTCTCATTATCCTTCATCTTAAGTCTCTTGAATTCAGACATAAGAGTCTGCAACCTTGCTTCCTTTACTCTGTCTGCGCCCATGTGTTTTGATTTGATAGCCTCCCAAACCTTCTTTGCATTGTCTAGCTCCCCGATCTGAAGAACAAGTGCTTCTGGTATGTAGCTAAAGATGAGTGCGGTTGCTACATCATTCTTCTCTGTTTCACTTGTCTCTTTATCGACTGCGTCCCATGCTTTGTGTACTTTTAGAAGGAGCTTCATTCGGATGGCCCATACCGTGTAGTTAGATGATGTAAGCATCAGACAACTTATGGATGATCCTCCTTCTTTTATCTTTGTAGTCGAGAATGGTATAATATCACTCATGTTTGGCGCTGATACCAAATATTGTTTCAATCTCAATGTATGAACTCAAAGATCTCAATAAGAATAACTCAACTCTTATTATTAGCTTAAGAAAACTCTCTCAAAAACTTAAGCTCTCACAAAGATCTCTCACAAACTCATAAGTTATATCACAAGATGATATCTCCTTATATAGATCTTATAAAAACCCTAAACCAACTTAACAAGTAAATTTTCCTTTTCTCTTAATCCTAACTTNAGATCTCAATAAGAATAACTCAACTCTTATTATTAGCTTAAGAAAACTCTCTCAAAAACTTAAGCTCTCACAAAGATCTCTCACAAACTCATAAGTTATATCACAAGATGATATCTCCTTATATAGATCTTATAAAAACCCTAAACCAACTTAACAAGTAAATTTTCCTTTTCTCTTAATCCTAACTTAAATGGAAATAATATTACTTGTTCTCTAAGTTATCTTCAAGCTTACTTCCAACAAGCGCTAGCATGGCTGCAAGAACGAGTCTTGAAAAGATGTGTTCACGAGCTTTCGAGTTAATCTCACGAGTTGACTAGAATGAAGGAGCTTATGAGTGATCTCAAGGCTCAAAATGATAAAATACTTCACAAAGTGCATAACTGCGCAGTAGAGCACAGTAAGGAGAAGAAAGAGATGGTGATTGTCAAAGAGACAAAGATGTGTCTATCCATGGAAGAAACAAAGAGTTGACTGAACAGCTTCTCAAGTCTATTGACCGTAACGGACTCTGAAAAGGAGATAAAAAGATGTTCAAGTGCTTAGAGATTCTGCAGAAGAAGGGAATGTTGGGACGCACACGCAGAGACTAACTGAATTGCATAAGAATATCACGAGAGAAGCGGAAGTGATTCTTGATAATGAGATTCCCGATTTAGAGAAGTTGTTTCAAGGGCTTGGTCTAAAGATTTTCAATCATTCCAAGAAAAAGAACAAAAAGAACAGAGATTTGTTTCTGTATCAAACTTCAGATTTATAATCATACAACAGTTTTTCACTAGAATTGATAACAAGAATCCTGAGACTAGTCTCTTTGGATTTAGAAAATTGCTCATAGGTTTATCGGTAGCCTTAGACCGTCACGAGCAAGCTGTACATAAATGCCTTCCCTAGAAAATGTACATAGCCCATTAGCTTTCATGAGGACTTACTAAAATGATACAACACTGTTTTGAATTCGTACCTTAGAGACCATTCCGCAAGTATCTCATTGTATTCATGGTGATCAAAATAGTGTGTCATACCCGTTAAAAGCGCTCTCTTTGGACAGAGCCTCTTTATGATCTCAAGAGTCTAAAGAAGATGAGGCTCAGATAAAACATTTTTCGGTAAACGAAGAAAGACAATAAAACAAACCTCAGGCAAACATAGATGTGTGGGTTGTAGTCCTCTCTATTATCAAAGAGATAGTCAGTAACAAAAGGTTTTCATGAACAAAAAGTTTAAAACAGAAGTGTGAAACTATATAACCTTCGATGGTACATTTGTATCCAGGATAAGAAGATCTAACTGTCCAGCCCCAGCTTTAGAAATTGCTACATAGTCAAAGATTCATAAGGATAGCAATCATAGACTAACTTGTGATTTCAAATGATTTAGGCAAAAACAGTGTTGGTTCTTACCATACTCAGTACTAGGTGGGATGCGTGATACATCTGATATATAAGCCACCTTACTTTTATCACCGAAGAGGAAACCTAGAGCAACGTAATCCTCTCCATGCATCACCTAAGCAAAACATAGAATCCAAAGGATTAAGTTCTCATGGAAGAATCACTGTTTTTATTTACTCAAAATATAGAAGTTTAACGGGAAGCAAAGCCGGTCCAGAACACAGGAAAGTGAAACATTGATCTATAATATCCCAATTTTAAAAGATAATTTACATAAATATAGGCTCCTAAAGTTATATAACTTTTAATTAAAAATCTTGTTAAATTGTTTTATATGCCCCAAACGTTCTCATGGAAAAATAATCACTGTTTTTATTTACTCAGAAGATCGAACAAAGTTTAACTGGAAGAGGCGTGAAAGATAAGCCCGAGACAGTGAATGGTTTGTCACAATTCTCTTCGATGATTTTCCAGTCAAGCTGTGAAACCCGTCTAGGTACTTCTTTAACCTTCTTTTCAACCAAATAAGGAAACCTCGTAGAAATGCTGTACACAAATGTCATTTAAATTAGTCTCATGTAGAGCACACTTACTAATAACAGGAAAAAGGTCAAAAGATTTTACCTTTCCATTGTAAATTGAGATAGAAAGACGGGAAGTGGACTGGTGTCAATGGCTGAACCACGAGGTTGAAGAGATCGAATATCATCTAGGCCATGAATTGCGTCTGCGTGGTCATGAGTTAGAATGATCTACATAATATCATTGGTAGTAAAAGTTAGATTTCATCATTTCAAACAAAATGATGTAAGAATTCAAGAAAATATTAGTATATAAAAAGGGCTTAACAGAATCAATTCTTGGAATCATATAGAAGGTAAACCAACGAAGAACTTGCTCTCTAAAACTCTTCCCAACATCAATAATCATGTAATAATGTCTACCATCTTCCTCCTCGCAGCAATAATCGATCAAGAGAGATGTATTGCATCTGCCAATATCAGAGTATCATAGATTCAAGAATGGACCGAAGAAGATCAGCAGGGTCTTTACGGGACAACAAGATTTAATAGTTTATTGGGAACAAACAATTCAACGTTTCACAGTCTTGACAGAGTAAAGACCAAACAACACTTAGAGAAACTATACTGATGTTGGAATGAGAGAAAATATACCTGTAATTAGGGTTGAGGTGAGGCAGTAAAGTGAGGGACTGAGAACAGACATGGCAAGGAGGATCTGACGGCTGGAGTAAGCATCGGAAATGGGGAACTGCGGCGGAGCAGCCTGTCCCGAGAAAGATAAGGGCCGTTCGATCATCATCACATTCATTCTTCTCCATGCTCGAGACTTTGATCTTCCAATTACATTCAGTCTAGCTAAAAGATGACTTTAAAAGCCAACGACTGCATGTTTGTTTATTGTATTAGTTGAGAAGTTGTGTTCACTCATGTTTGTTTATTGTTTTAATTGAGAATTTTTCATCAATCATGTTTGTTTATTGTGAGACAGAGGAACAATGGAACAAAGAAACAAGAGGGAAGTTGTCTTTTATTTTTATGTATTTTATTAGACTAAACTAAAAGAATAAACGGATTTTTGCCAAAACTAACCCACAACTTGGTTTTAACCCCAATACTAGACCCCAACTTGAATCAAATGCAAATCTAACCTAAAAGAGCTATGAAATTACAGTATAGTGCTCTGTGACCAAACAAAAAAACAGAAGACATTTTTACGAATATAACCCCAGTAAGTTGTCTGGGTCGGGCTGAGTTACTTTTCAGTCGTCTGGACGACTTAAATGTTAGTTGTCTGGACGATTGAATCTTAAAAATAATTTATAAATTCTGTAAAAAATATTTTGATGAGTGAAAAATTAAAAACATGTAATTATAAACATTTATAAGTGATATAAACTAAGAAATGATAAAGTTGATTTATTTTCAGCATAGATGAGTGGAAGTAGTGAATCATGATATCTTTGGTTTAAGGGTTTGGCAAACATATGTTGTAGTATTGTATGTAATCTTAGGGTTAGATTTTGAAAAGCTGAAATGTTTTTTTGAAAAAATTAATTTGACCTCTATGTGTTTATTTCTGTGTATAGTAAACATTTTTCAAGTTTAAATTGATGTTTCGAAGTGTTTAATTAGAGAATAAAGTTTAGGGGTTATGTTNTTATTTCTGTGTATAGTAAACATTTTTCAAGTTTAAATTGATGTTTCGAAGTGTTTAATTAGAGAATAAAGTTTAGGGGTTATGTTTAGGGATTAGACGACTGAAATTTCAGTCGTCTGCTTTAAATTATTTCCCAGACGACTGAAATTTCAGTCGTCTGCTTTAAATTATTTCCCAGACGACTGAAATTTCAGTCGTCTGCTTTAAATTATTTCCCAGACGACTAAAATTTCGTCTGCTTTAAATTATTTCCCAGACGACTGAAATTTCAGTCGTCAAATTGTACCGAACCGTTAATTTTAACATTTTACGTTTTAACCTAACCGGATTTTTACCGGACATATAAAAGTTATTTTTTTCACTTTTTCACAATTTTCCGAAACCCTAGCGCCGTTTCTCTCCAAGGACGATTGTAAAGGCGACTTCGACGAATCTCTCCGTTTTCGCCGGTAATCTCTTCGATTTCGACGAATCTCGTTTTTCTTTCATGCCTTAGAGTATTTTCGTAGTTTAAACTGACCATCCGCTTCCTTTTTCAGATTTGAAATCTCGTATCCCTTTCCTCCGCCGCCGGTATGTTATATCTTATGTTTTAAGGCGTTTAGCCGCCGGAAAACCCTAAAAATTGTAGTCTTGACTCTTCTTTTCCCTTCGATATGCAGATCTGTAACCGCTAGGGACCACATCTTCTCCGACTAAATCTTCTCCGACTGTAAGTCGTCATAGTAGTCTTCTCACTTCATGGAAGCCTTCTACGAAGTCTTACTCTCTGGACGACTTACATGTAAGTCGTCCAGAGAGTAAGACTCTGTAGAAGACTTCCAGGAAGTCGTCTGAGTAGTCTTCTCACTTCCAGGAAGTCGTCTGAGTAGTCTTCTCACTTCCTGGAAGCCTTCTACGAAGTCTTACTCTCTGGACGACTTACATGTAAGTCGTCCAGAGAGTAAGACTCTGTAGAAGACTTCAAGGAAGTCGTCTGAGTAGTTATCTCACTTCCTGGAAGTCGTCTGCTAGTCTTCTATAGTATTTAGAATAGTGCGCTACCTTTGTGGTTGAGATGGTTGTTTGTGATTGTTTGCAGGCCTTAAAATGGATATATCAGAACTGCCACCAAGGTTGTTTACATTAGGAGAAGAGCCCCCTGCACTGAGGAGCATTTCGTATCATTCTGATGACAAGAAGTTGTTTCAAGCTCTATCTGATAATCTCAGACCTGAGGAATATGAGGATCTGAAAGCGTCAAAGTTGGGAATATTCATTAAGTTCAAGGAGCTTGGCTTTGTTTGGACTTCAAGGCTTGTACATTTTATTCTCTCCTTCCAGCTGGACATCAAGAAGAAGTTTGAGCTCTGGACTCTTGCCGGACCAGAACCTTTGAGGTTTTCAATTCTAGAGTTTGAAAACCTCACAGGTCTGAACTGCGACTACATCCCGAATTTGGAAAATCCAAGGTGTGAGA